AGTCACCACGGGACTCCCATCACTCTGATGCCACTGCCCAGCAGGGACACAACTGGAGGTATGTCCACCAGGCAGTCTTCATTTCGACCACTGTTTATTACGTTTGTATCAGAAAGATTATGTCTGGCACTAAATAACAAACGTGACTTTCTCCGAGGCAAAATCCAATTGTAAGACCAGTTTGGTTTCTGGAGAGATGAAGCAATCCCAGGAGGGGAGAAAAATAAGGGGTGGAACAATAGAAATTGGAAATCAAATTTTGCTCCCAACCCCAGGCTAGTTTTTAGTATTTTCTTCAATTAGAATATGTTCAATTTCAAAGGAGTTACGAACGAGATTCCTGCAAATCTTAAAAGGCCTTTTAAATCATGAATATAATTTTTAAAAATTGCCTTATTAGCATTAAAATGAAATCAATCTCTTTAAAAAAATGTCTCACACTCTTTTAACAAATTGTGAAAAAAAAATTCTTAATGGAATTAGTCTCAAATGTTAAAATGCTTCATTCTTAGAAATATAATTTAGTGAGTCGTGATAGCGGCACCAACAAAATGGTGATGTGGTTTGAAAGAGCAGACGCATGTCATTTTGATACTGTTGCCACTTTGAATAACATTGGCAATTTAGTCTTGCATTTAATTGAATGTAGAATTGAAAAGTCTTGAAGGAATGATTTGACACACATGAATGCATTTTTTGGATGCATCTTTTTATTTTATTCATTTTCTTTCCTATGGCCATCCGTTGCATGCATTTAACATAAAAATAATCTGATTCGCATTGTGATTCTGATGCACAGCATTTATCACTTTTCATGTTTTCATTTTGTTTTGTTTTTTTTCCCCCTAACCCTGCTTAGGAGCACAACGCAAACCAAAACTCAGCAAGAGAGGAAAAAGGTCAAGGCCAGGCGAGGAGAAAACAGAAATAGGTCGGTGACCAAGAAATGTGAAATATGGCCACCGATATGGATCATCACTGCAAATGACTCATAGCTCATCCATTATTATGAACTAGTGTCTTGAAAGAAACCACATTTGATGTTTACATTTGCTGTTTGGTAGGTTTTAGTACAAAGGAGCTTATTTTTTGCTTCCAATGCTTGCGTTTAGGGGTGTGGCCACCACGTCGTCGATGCTCAGCACCAACGCCGTGACGTCGTCCAGCCTCATGGCCACTTTGTCGCAGCCCATCGTCATCTCTGACACCCCCAGCCCGGCGGTCAGCATCATAACAATCCACAGCGACACCGACACGGAAGATGAGCGCAAGTTTCACCCTGCCAGGTGAGCATCTGATGACCGCGTGACAAAAAAACGGTTTACCCAGCAAAACCTTGTGGATCGTGGCCGAAATCCGTTTGTCTTTTGACCACAGTGTTACATTGGGCCAGCGCACTAATGTGATCAGCTGCGTGACTGTGCACGACTCCGACTCGTCCACTGCCAGCCCCCTGACTCCGCATCCCCGCACGCTCAACGCAGCCGGCACCGTTTCGTCTCGCCAGGCCAAGTCTCTGGCCGTGGTGGCGCCTTCGGTCAAAATTCAGGCGCCTGAGAGAGGAGCAACTTCACGTAGCCGCCCAGAAACTGGTGAGACGCGTCCTCATTCCTGAGCCATCGCGCCCTTGAAGGTGTTTTGGCGTTGAAAGTGGCAGTAGTTCACACATGTGACTTTTTGTTTTTTTTCCATCAATTCCAGTGAACTACATGAAACCCAAGAGAATGTCCCATCAGCAGCCAAGTAGTTCGGGGGAGAGCCTGGAGCGACATGGGCTGATGCTTAGCCAGTCACGCCCTTTAAACCTCAGCCAGGTGGGGGCCACTTTTATGTTGAGACAGCAAATATCACATAGGCACTTTTAACACTACAGTGTACGACCGCCTATTCCTGGTTCACCACTCACAAATTCACCTGCCATAATCGCTGCTATTCTGGAGGTTACCCCGCCACGCGCCGTCTGCCGGCATCTTGGTGCCGAGCAGCAAAGTTGAACTGAGGAAGGTTTTCGCACTTCTTTTTGACACTTTGTATATCTATTTACCATATGCAAATTTACTTTGACTAACAATTTAGCCAGTCGTTTAATCCTTTTTAGGATTCTGACTAACAGTGCTAAATAAACGTATCCTTCAGTGGAAATACCGTTATTGTGAATGCTCCGGAGAGCCACCATCTGGGAATGCTTGGAAATGCAGCACTACTTTGAGATTAGATATTGAATGCCTTATGGTTTTTGTTTTTTTTTTGTCTACTGTAATGTCATGAAACTCGAGGCGATGTTGTCAGCGCTTATTTTGCACAACAGACTTTTTTTCCCAGCAGATCAGCATAGAAACAAACCTGCCGTATTTTTCTTTTCTCTTCAGCAAGCCGGCCGCGCTCATCTTGTGTTCTGCAGCGTAGAGTGATGTAATTGTTGGCGGGCTATAAAAAATATACTTCTCTGTTTCAATGGTTATATCTCACTTGTGTTTTTATTGTAATTGACGATGGACTGGCACCTTTGCAAATGACGCATAGCACAGCCACATGATGCAAATCTTACGACGCGGTGTCATAAAGCGACAAAAGCATTGCAGTGGTATCTGCTTATCTCATTCATCATCGTCTTATTTTGGAATGCATCCCATGCTGACAGAAATGTGTGTTGTGAAGGTGCAGCCCTTGGTGTCTTCATCTCAGGAGCGCACAGGGGCGTCCCACGGTGACTCATCGATACGTCGGCAGCAGACCTTCCCCGCGGCCGCCTCGGCTCCTCACTACAACTTCCCCGAGGTGTCGGCCCTGGCCTCCGTCTCGGCCGCCGCCGGGCCCGGCCTGTACACCTACCCGGCCTCCACCGCCCTCTCATCCGCCTCTCAGGTCATGGAGCAGCTGCTGGGCCGCGGCCACGGAGGCCACGCCGGGCACGGAGGCCACGGACACTCGGGACACTCCCCCTCCGCCTATGCAGCCACATACACCTCCTCTTCTTCCTCGTCCTCCAGGAGAGACTCGGCCAGCCGCAAGGATTCCGTCAGCAGTCTGCTGCACGGCCTGCCGGCGGTCTACCAGCAGCAATTCGCCGCGGCCTCTCCTTACATGAGTGTGACGCCGCGGGCGGAGGCGTACGGCGCCTACCAGTTGAGCCCCAGACGCCTCGCACAGTACCCCTACCTATAAGATTCTTGATTTCGCTTACTTAGCACCACCAAGGGACGACTGTCACTTAATCTGATTGCTGCTTTTCATCACGAGGCTTGTCCTTTCCATTTATTTTCCCTTAGGAAATATTATCTGACACCCTTATTTTATCCACTTCATATTAGGAATTGCGGTTCATTGTTTCTTTGTGTGAAGAGAGATTCCGCTCCTGTCACAAGCTGCGATGACCCTTTTAGGCCAGCTTCCTGTGCTAGTGGAGGACTAGCTGACACTAATCCAGTGAGTCCCTGTGTTTTAGCCAACCTAACAATAACTGTACTTGACCCACGTCCGTCGACTCACAAATATGTCTTTTGCTCTGTTTAAATTATGTTTTGTCTGTGTGCGGTGGGAACACAATGACGTTGGGGGTTTAAGCTGCGAAGGGTGACCCAAATGTGATGGCTCCATGTTAATTTAAGTGCACATGTGATCGTGTGTTTATGTAGTGACAGTGTTTTAGGCCAGATAAACCATGCAATAGTTTGTTTTTGTTTTTTTTGCGTTTCTTTTTAACCGAATGTATTTATGAAGTCCCGATGAGTGAGATCGTCATGCTGACAAATGACATGAAAAGCTTTTTGGGTTTATCGTTTGAAGAAAAAAAAAAAAGATCCGGTTTCTCTTTAAAAGATTAAATAAATCGCGATTGTCATAGGCACACCTGTTAAATGACATGGCCGCTAGCCACTGTTGTGTAGGACCTCTTTGATGGATTGAAGTAAGGCCAGTCTTTTTGTTGTTGTAAAAATAAAAAAAAATAATTGTCCCTTGGGGATGCTTACTCGCTGCAGTACCCATTGACTGCTGAATATTGGCATATCTTTTGGTTGATTACTCACTGGTGCGTAACAAGCTCTTATGGGAATGAGTTTTAAAAAATAATAAGAATCTAGCCAAAACGTTGCAGAAGAGAGATGTTTTCCTTCAGGCGACTGTGGGGTTCTCAAAGCTTTTTAGGCGATCCTTCCCTGTTTGTGTTTGCATTGTTTTGTGTTGTAATGTCTTGAGTATTTAAGTGTAATTTGACCTTATTCTTGTAGGTAAAGATGCTACTCTGTAGAACTAATTCAGGGAAATGTTTCTGCTCAATAATCCATCACTGTTTGCAATAAAATCACCACGAACACAACCCCGGTCTCGTCATATCATTCCACATAAACAAAGCGAAAGTCACCGTCTTCTGCTGCTCATGCAACGGCAGCCTGAGGATTGCGAGTGGGTTACAGGTGAAGAGAAGCGCACGTGAACGGGACCAATGCCGCGTCCAAACAAGCATTAAACTACTCAAACGTGGGCGGGCGTTTACCACACATAGGTGTCTCTTATCGCTTCTCTGGAAGTCCTTTATTACTGCTCATAAAAAGCTCCTTGTGAATTATAATACAACTTCCTGGCTTTATTTCGGCAACGATTCACTTTGGATGTGCTTGGTATTATTTAACGACTTTCTCGTTGAATATAAATAACGTGTTGCGTTAAAAATCAACCACTACATGAGTAAACAATTTTAAATATTCAGTATCCTCAAATTTAAAGGCTGGTGTAACTTAAAGGAAGTTCGTAATGTCCTGACTGCAGACATTTGCTATACTTCAACAGTTTTTTTGTCCCCTGAAAACTGATGAGTGAACCATTTCTACGTTTTTCAGGGTGGGAGCATGATATTGCAATGGAAAATTGTATTTATTTTAAGGCTTGTAACACATCTTATGCAAGAGTACCAATAATTATGGAGGGCGCTGTAAGTACGAAAAAAACCACTTTAATCAGGTTATTGAACAGTTCAGTGATTGCATTTTTTTTTTAAAAAGCACAACTTTGATACAAAGTATAGAATGCGTGCCCAGAGTGCGCAATGTGGAATGTTGCACTGAGATGAATGTCAGATGACAACAAAAGCATCAGGCTCCCAAGATAGTCCGTCATCCATCACAAAACAGTTGAACACTTTATGTAGCTTGGACTTGAAAGCAGTGTGATTTGAATCCGAGCTGATGAGAAACAGAGAAAAGGAGAGCTTAATTTTGACACTCCGACATCAAGAGTAAAAATAATGTCAAATGACGCGTTCTGTACTTACAACATTGTCCTGATGAGCTGCTTGTTCAAACTTTTCACAGATTCCCCCTTGATGCCCTTCTTTTTTGGCTCTTTCTCCGGTATCCGATCCCAGATCTCGGTGTTTACCCACAATGCCTCGGGCAAGGCCAGGCTGGCTTGAAAGGTGGTGACACAGCGACACAGAGGGCAGCAGATTGTTTGGATCACGTTGTCGGCGATGGCCAGTTTCTCCAAACAAGGGGCGCAGAAGGTGTGACTGCAGTGCAGCAAGCGTGGGACCCGATGACTTCGTGAGTAGTCGTGGAAACACACTGGACACTCCAGATCTTCATTTGGAGACATGCTGACGACACTTGGCAAGCTGTGTATGACAATTATGTTGCTTTCCACTTACACCGCAACAACAAAACCATCTGGCCAAGCGAAAAAGATTTCATGATTTTGCTATTCCACAACCATTTTATACAGACTATCCCAATTTTTTCTGAGGCCGAAATGCTCGATTCCACAACCATTTTTTTCCAGACTATCCCAATTTTTTCTGAGGCCGAAATGCTCACACAAGCAACCAAAGTCTAGAGTAGGTGTCACAATCCCAGGTTAACTTGCATCAGAGAGAATGCAAGAGAAAAGCATTTAGAATGAAAGGAAAAGCACACCATTCAATGCATACACGTCATGTGTCAAACATGGTGAAAGTTGCCAATTTACAATCGTGTCACTTTTGAGACTTTCGCACTCTGCATTTAAAAAAAAAGTTGTTAGTTATGAATGCTTATTGGCATATTTTTGTGAAAGCATGTAAATTGCAGGTGTAATCCTACACTTGACATTTTGGTTGCTTCATTCCAAATCTGTTGTGATGGCGCATTATTGCAAAATCATAGAACATCTGGAAAATACTTACACAATATACATTTGAAGCATACAGTACTTACTTGTAAGATGAGAGTGGTGTTGCCTTGTGAAGGTAGTGGAGAGTTGGCTGAGGTTTTCTGAGTGCTTCTGCGGTTTTTAAACTGGCTTTAGAGGCACAACTGTTTGTTTATGTCACGTGACACAGACAAGCGCTCTTCCAGGGAAGTCGAGGTTGTAAACGGTCTTTTGAAGAGTACCATTAACACTGCGACGGGACTCAATACGTTATCAAAACACACGGCAGCCTTCGTGAGTGATTTATTAAATGGCTCTTTTTATATGCAAACTTTGCCCTTTCAGACCACAGACAGTCACATGTAAGCGAGGATCCAACTCTTTCAGTGCTGCAGCCATTTACCCAAATTTGAGAACCACGGCTTTATTGCAAAATAAGAGATATGTCTAATATTTCAAATCAAAGGACGAACAAAGGAAGTGTTACTGCGGATCTGCCACCTTCAATTCGGCCAACGCGCTGACGTTTCGTCCAAACGGTCCTCGCTCAAGGCGGCGTTTACGTATATGTTAATCATATAACAAATAGCAATTTACAAAAAGATATGTTATTTATAGAAACACCAATTTTTATGTGGAATATGATGTCATTGTAAAATGTAGACAAATAATCTGGTACGGTCGTTCTTTAGGACAGGGGTCCCCAACCGCCGGTCCGCGGACCGGTACCGGGCCGCCGGGCATTTGGTACCGGGCCGCACAGAAAGAACTTGCCTTAATTCCGTTTTATTTATTTCGGAATACGAAAGATGTTTTATTTTGAAAACTAACCGGATTCTCCGTTACATCCGTCTGTGTCCAGCTTGACACACGTCAAGCCACGCAAAAAAATAACAAAAAAACAGAAATTTTCAGAATCCGTATGATTTGTGCGATTTGGCCATATACGTAAGATTCACCACAAAATCCATATGAACTATGGCTAAACCGTATGAGTTGACAGGTATGCAAACGGTCCTCGCTCAAGGCTGCGTTTACGTATATTTTAATCATATAACAAATAGCAATTTACAGAAATATATGTTATTTATAGAAACACAATTTTTTATGTGGAATATGATGTCATTGTAAAATGTAGACAAATAATCTGGTACGGTCGTTCTTTAGGAGTCACTATTGGACCTCTCAGTCGGCCCTTTGCTTCCCTCTACCGGTGGACATGTGGACATACTCCTCTTCCGGTTTGAGGGAAACGACACTGACTGTCAGATACTGCAGTGGATGACATGCAGAGTTAATGAGTTCCAAATATAAGTTGCAATGGCGTACAGAGTGATGTGGTTTTAAAGGGAGGGGATCAGGGGTTGAAGGAAGCTCGACAGGGAGGCGCCCCCCCCCCCCCCCCCCCCCCCCCCCCCCACACATAAATTACCGGTATGTGCCTTGGCTCAATAAAGGTTGGGAAACACTGTTTTAGAATATACAGCGCAAATGCAAGAGGATGAACTGGACGCCACATTCAATTTTTATTGAAATGTTTGTTGATCATTGTTCTAATGCGAGTTATGCTTAATAACGTTGGCCTGTGATTATTTTGGAGTCGTAAAGCATTAAATTTAACGTTAGTTCAACTGGTGTTGTAGCCTATGATTGATGTTCTGTATGTATATATAGAACATCCCAGAATCGCGTACACCCACTTAAAAAAATCCTCTCTACACCACTGGCAATACTGTACACCCAACAGATGTGTGTCAACCGGCGACCTCCGTATTATTTTTGCAATGACAAAACAAAATGGAGTCCACTATTTGAGTGGAACCAGCAGAGGCCCTGGTGATTCAGTTGCAATTAATTTGTGAACAGAAGGAAGACATGAAGTCAGCTGTGCTTGTTGCATGTTTATTTGTTCCAGAAAGATGGAAAAAGAAAAACAACATTTTAAAAAATGAATGCTGATATCAATATGAAAACACACCTTGAAACTGATATAAAATGTGTATGTTGATTTAAGTCTCCTATGAGCGTAAAGTGCATTTTTTACTAACATTGAACATCGAAAATTGCACAGGAGTACTGTCAGGCATCCCGATTTTCCAACCGGCTTGTCATAAATATAAATTGGGGTAAATTCCCCATTGTCATCACTTCAGTCTCCAAGTATGGAGTATAAATCTCCAACACATTCATAGTTTTCCATCATTAGTAAATAAATAAATGAATAAAGAGGAGGTCGTGTGCCTCACAGTGCAGAGGTACAATTCCAGCTCCGGCCTTCCTGTGTGGAGTTTGCATGTTCTCTCCGTGCCTGCGTGGGTTTTCTCCGGGTACTCCGGTTTCCTCCCACATTCCAAACACATGCATGGCAGGCTGACTGAACACTCAAAATTCTCCCGAGGTGTGATTTGGTTGTTTGTCTCTGTGTGCCCTGCGATTGGTTGGTTTGGTTGTTCGTTTCTGTGTGCCCTGCGATTGGTTGGCAACCGGTTCAGGGTGTCCCCCACCTACTGCCCGAAGACACCACGGCTCCAGCACCCCCGCAACCCTTGTGAGGATAAGCGGATTGGAAAATGGATGGATAGATGGATAAAGAGGAGAGAAAGAAATTCTCATAATCTTATTTTCATTCAGGTATCATAAAGAAAAGTGCAGTCTCGTGAACTGGCTGAGCAATATTCACTTGCATCACTGTGATTTCACTTTGTGATGGTCGACAAAGGCATGATGATAAAATAGGAAACATGTATAAATAAAAAGGACTAAACAGCTTTACAGTTCAAATGTGTGTGTGTGTGTTTTTTTACAGCCACTCAATTTCTCCAAAACTATATGCAAGTTCAATATATCCATAAATATATACAACAAGGAACCATAGTGTCGTTGGCTTGGTCCAGATGAACGCCAGAAGACAACGGAAACATCAGCAGGCCTGCAACTGCTGCTCTTGCACGGTGAGACAGTTGAACATTTTTTGGAGCGTAGACTTGAGAGCAATTTGATTCGAATCCAAGCTAAGGAGAAAGAGAAAGAAAAAAAGGTTTTAATTCATTTTTAAACTCCCAACATGAGTCGTCACAATCTGGAAAGGTGTTTTAAGCGATTATTCGATATATCTGATGTAGTAGTTTGTGCTCTGTCCTTCACTAGTACTTCTTCCATGCACTAATGGAACAAAAATGTGTTTAGTTCCCCCGACACTCACGTGCGTCCCCCGTTGGATGTAAATGGTTCGCTTTTGGTTAGAGCACACGAGTAGGACAGCCATTGCCTTACTAGGAACTAGTATGTTTTTCCACTACTCCTTTCCACAACTGTATGACATTTGTGCACACGGTCAGAACAACGTTGGCAGATTCATTTGAAAAATGTGTGCCAATAGTGATGTCATCACATTTTACGATTTCACATCTAGCACAGTGACTCTGTAGTTGTATGCAAAAGAATTACTGCCCAAATACAGTTAAGTTGTATTAAAAATGTTTTTGGTAACTTACATGTGCAATTCATTTTAACTGGATTTTTAAATTTTTAATATCAGTTTTAATTTTCCGATACTAAAGCATCTGTTGAAGAATCAAACCTGTCTTGTTTTTAATGAACACTTAGGCCTACTATGCTACTATATTTTTGAGTTAGTCCTGATGGTGGTCAGCGCAATTTTTTTTTTGTTTTTTGTAGGTGCACTTGGTGTAGAAAGTTGTAGAAGCGCTGATCTAGCATTAATGCTTCAACAACTTTCCCAATGACGTTTGAAAAGATTTTTCTACTTACAAAGTTGGCCTGATGAGCCGCTTGTCCACATCCTCCACTGAATGTTCCCTTGCCCTCGTCCTCTTCTGCTCTTTCTCTGCCATTTGATCCCAGATCTCGGTGTTGACCCACAAAGCCCCCGGCAGGGTCAGGCTGGCCCGAGTGCAGGTGATCCAGCGGCACAGGGGACAGCAGATAGTCCGGATCACGCCGTCTACGTTGGCCAGTTTCTCCAGGCAAGTGGCGCAGAAAGTGTGGCCGCAGTGCAGCAGGCGTGGGACACGTTGTCTGCGTGAGTAGTGGTGGAAACACACCACACACTCCAGATCTTCATTTGGAGACATGCTGAGGCCCCTGCGCAAACATGATCATTCAAATTTAACACGCTTACCACTTTTAAAAGCACAACGTAGATACACAACTTGACAGACAGACTTTGGAACTCACCGTGTGTCCATATGAAGTGATCGCTGAGCTGGTCGAGGCGTGTTCTGAGTGCTGCTGTACAACAAGCCACTCTTAAAGACGTGACTCCTCGTGTCACGTGACGTGAGCGCTGAGCGCGCTTCCAGGGAATTCTGCTCTGGTAAACAGACCTCCGGAAGAATTCTATTCACCCTAGCACAGAAAAAAGGAAAATACCCATCTACTTGATCTGATCAGCAAGTGTTGCTTATACTCTTACATTCTGTTCATTTTACTGAACCCCTGCCAGCCTTTCTCATTTTACCCCTTTCAATGCCAGCCATTAAAAGAACAACAAAGAACTTTATGAGTGGCAACCAATGGACTGATCTTTCGAGGCTCACCAAATATTTTGTTTTATGACAATGTAAACACAGAAATTACCAAATGAAACATTCGTCTATCTCCGATCATCACAAAAAATCTGTTTCCACCACGTTCCGTTATTTAGTCATCAGTAGTAGAACATGGATTAATTTAATTCAAATAGTCTATTTTGCACCCAAAACCACAGAAAATGAGCTTTCTGTGAAAATATTTTTTTGTGATTTTAATGCTAACAAATTATTTCCTTTAGCGACACCACAAACATCTGAACGGTTCTTTTCTTCTATAAAATACCAACAGGACACCCGCAGCGGCTCCTCTTGTTTTATGTTGAGAGGGAAGAAATTTCATCTGTGCTGTATGTTACACATACGTACAGCACATTTGACAATAAAGTTGTATTCAAGTCAATTCAATTCAACAGTGCATTTGTGCTTTTCATGGCCAAATAATGTATTTACAATGAATCACCTTTGTAACAATTTAACATTTGACAAATTACAAACTATTGGCATGTTATTGAGTAGTAGTAGTAGTATTTTGTAGTGTGTGTGTGTGTGTGTGCATTTTTGTGTATGGATGTACATTAACATCGCTTTTACTGCCAAATCTCAAAAATGTCCATCGCCTTTTCTCTCTTTTGTGACACTGTAGATTTAACGTATCAAATTCTTTGATCAATCCCAAGCTGCATGATTCTGCAAGAATGTGGTGGAAATGAAGACATTTCTTGGGACTATTTCAAGCTTTCTAAAATCCATTTAAGTCGACAATTGGACCAAGAACAGCCTCAGTATGGCTAAACTTTGTTGCACCTGTACAAAAAAATATATATTTTTTAAATATAGTCGTCACAGTGTTAAATAATGACATTCAATGTACTTTTATTGCTGTCACGTGTCAAACAAGATCAAGTTTGTCCTGAAAAGTATAAGATTAAAAAACGTTTTGACAGGGGGAAACTTGAACTTTATACCCCAGCTGGTTCACACAGCTGGCTCTCCGTCACATGCAAAGTGCAGCTCAAATGGTTGCACTGTGCTTGTAAATCCGCCCTTCCCTTCACGGTTATTGCTCTTTATACTCTTAATTCTGATGTCACTGTTTGTTGTGAAGCAGGCTCACGTTTTCAAGGGGTGTACTCTTATGACCATAAGCCTCATTACACTAACTTTACAGCTCCATTTGTAGAGTCTTGTAATGGGCTGTCAGAATACGGTTTCCTCCCCCAAGTTCTCAAGAAGAGCCAGGTAAATATTTAATCAGACCATTATTTTGCTTTCAACTGTTACTTTTTTTGGTTTATTGCCTGCCATAGAACTATACAGTGATGACACATCTCTTACTGATAACGCACATCAGCGCAAATCAGAGATTCTCTTCAATGGTAATGCAAATGTAAAGAATTGCCTCACTGTTGGATCAAGGTGTGTCTAAAGAAGTGGCTCACGTGAGCGGGAAGCTTTGAGAGCAGTCTTTGAAACGCCTCCGCCAGGTAGGCTCATTTATTTTTATACACTAAGTGAGGTAAGTGACAACCTTTGTTGTATAATCACACAACAGCAGTCCTTTTATGATTTGTTTATTTCCGAAGACTGTGTTGCTGCTGAGAAAAGAAGTCCACTAGCTTCACTAATAAACGCAATTCACAACAGTACAATGAGAAGCAGTCATGTGGACACTTTGTGTCATCCGACTACACACTCCAAAGGCTTTGTCTATAAATTAAAATGACAAAATTGATCGGAAAGAAAATATACAGAACAAAACGTTGATTCACCTCCCGCGTCTCCTAACCGGACGCACGTGTGCAGAGCGACGCTAGAGTGGTCAGATGAACCAATCCCCAACTGCGCTGGTCCCGAACTCACGACTGATTTGGGCTCATGGGTTGACTGGAGGGAGCCGATGTGTCTGTTCCCGTCGCTTCCTTCCAATGCTATTTTGTTGTTGCCGCTGTGAGGCATACCTCTGGTTCAAACATTTGCCTATAAAGACTTTCCTTTTGTGATTCAGAAAATGCTAACTTTAGCCAGAGATGTATCATCAGTCAAACTAGAAAAAGGAAAAGACAATTGTGTTGGGGGGGAGGCTGAGGTACTTGAAGATAGAAAACTGGGTGCTGATGTGGCTCCCTAGGTCGCTGCCATCTGGATCTGCTGTTCACGCTCTCTTTTTGTAAACATTTTGCTGACAAGAATAAAAACATAAGCAAGAGGAAGTGTGTTTGCCAATAGAGAGAGAGAGAGAGAGAGAAAAGTTGTCGCTCCACAAAAGCAACTTGTGACCAGTGGTGTAAAAACTTTGCTCCTCCACAACCCATGAGCCACCACTGACTCCCCCTCCGCCTTCTCACAGTCCCCTCCTGAGCGGGCTGCTTTCTGTCCTCCAGAGTCCGCGGTGGTCCGGGGACACAACGTCCCCCCCGTCCACCTGACATTAGTCCAGCTCTCAATCCTGCGCTATGCTCCTCAACACGTACTTGACCGTGTAGGCGAACGCGGCGAAGCCGACGATCACAAACAAGTTGGCGAGCGCCCCGCCTAGGAGTCCATGGTTGCGGTTGGGTTGCTGCAGGCCGTGGGCGGGGTTGGCGCCCCCGAGCGGGATGGGACCTCCGTTGAGGCCGGGGAGGCCGTAATGGGCCTGCTGGGGGTCGCCGTCGGGCACCACGTCAGGTAAGGGGAGGGGCTGAGTGCGGGCGTTGAGCTCTTCCTGTGCTTTCTGTTTTTGCTTCATCTCCTGGCGACAGAACACAAACAGCGATTCACAGCCAACGGCACAGCAAAGCTAAGAAAGAGGGCTGAAGAATTAGCCAAATTGAATTTCACACCGAAATGTCGTACCATGTCATTGTTTGGACAGCATTGTTTCATGAAAAAAAGTTTTGTTTGCATGATACTGTCATTTGATTTATGAGTTAGTGACTTCATGCCACGTTTGATTGTCGCAGTGAACGATTTAAAAGACTGCAGGTAAACTGTACAGTGAATAGATAGATTGTTCAATCTTCCGAATGGATTGCTTACTGGTGGAAAAAAATTCTCATTGTGTCAAGCCTAATATGAATTAATGGTTCATTTGCCTTCCTTTTAAACTTACAAGACCAACATATTTATGTATAATAAAGTTGATATATGTTTACTATTGTAAGACGTATTCATTTATAGCTTGTGTTCAGAAGAGGACCTCCCAAAAAATGGCATCATAAATCGCAAGTGTAGTATGGAGGGAAAAAGAAAAGTGCAACTGAATTATTTTCCAAAATGTTTCCGCCCGACTACAAAAGCAGCGAGCTCACCTCCACAACATCAGGGAACAATTCACAAAAGACTTTGTCCTTCAGGTTGAAGGCCAGGCTTTGGGCTGAGAGTTGTCTTTTCTGGAAAAACAAACACAATGTTGACACACCTACCGTCATTTACAAGTTTAATTTGTTCTGTGGCCAAGATCATCGCTCAGTTCACTAGTCCAGCAAATCAAGATGCCCTCTTGAAATAAACAAAAAAATCCATTCATCTGCTCCAGCCCTCAAATTTTAAGAAATGGTTACGTGTTTTTATTCAAAAACTCTTTTAAAAAAACTATTGTGTAAAATCGCACCGTGTGTGATCAAGCTCCAATGTCAGGGCTCACCGTGTGGTCCGAGGTCTCGATGCTGCCGAGAGTGGGTCCTTTCTCCACCATGAAGCTGAGCAGACCCGTGAGGATGGTGGAGACGGACCACGCCGGGTTCCACGTGTCTGGGTGGAAGTCCGTGATGGACAAACACAGCCTGTGGAGCGACACAGTGCGTTTCAGCATGGCAACGCGACACCAGTGTGTGCCACTAAGTCCAGGGGGGGGGAAAAATAAAAATAAAAAAGGGCAACAGATTCGCTTACCTCGTATTACATTTAAATCTGCCGTTGGGGGTTATCATGTAGATACTTGGTGGTTTAAATGGGAATTCCCGAGGAAACATGAGCTTTCCATGATAGTAACCCCCTATAAGGAAGACAAGATGGACAAATGTGAAGATGAGAATAAAATTTTGTCGCACACAGTGCGCAATTACACGCCTTGAAAAGTCATTTGCGCATCTCCTTATCAAGCGAGACGTTACAAAAATTAACTGTGTGCACAGTTGGCTATTTACTTTGGCTTTTTGGAGGGATCTTAGAAGAAAATGCAAGAGGAGAGGACGACACCCTGGAAGTTATGTGACGCACAACTCCCAACGTCAACACATAGCGTGTTTGGTTGTTTTGAAGTTTGACAGCAGTTACCTTCTTTTTACACTCGTGTGACAATACCATAAAAAAGCGCTCAGGAGTATAACGCAACTTTGTTTTGTGACTTTCATTCATCTTATTGAGCATTTTATGATTTAAAGTACATTTATTAATTCATCTCATTATGCCGCTTGAACATTAGCAAACAGTGCTTAAAAATGTAGTGAAGTAAAAAAATGCTTAAATATTAATTTGGTTCAAGCAAACCTGTATTACACAAGTTAGATGAAAATTTAATGAAAAGAAAAAAAAACTGATCAAATGAAGGAGCTGCGTCACTCCGAGTACGGCACATTCTTCAAACACACCCATAGGTGAGAAAAATACACCTGTGTGCAAAAAGCTTAAGAAACGAACATGCTAGTGATTGTATACTGTTTGCTTGTGTCACTCAAGCAGCGTAGTAGGGGTGAAAAGTTTATGGCGCACTGGCGTGGCAACGCCGGTTCAACGGCTAATTATGAGGAAAACGCTTCCTGTGATGGGTGAGGAATGAGGACGTGGCGAAACAGCAGCCTGCAGGCGTCTTCGCTTGTCATTTGTGAATATAGTAAGGT